CCCTACGACTATTATAAGTACATTTACACATTTACACGATGGTCTAAGAAGGGTGCGGACCTTAAACTTTCCCTTAACTTGTCCCAAGCCTAGGTAAAGGAGGTGGATAGTAGTAAAATTTTACCGAAACTTTTCATGAATCCTGATAGCCGACTCCAAATAGTTGAGGAAAGGTTCTTATGGTCAAAATGGCTGTTATTTTCAAATATCAGCAGTTAATTTGGGACAATATATGTAATAACCACCGGTCTTCTCCATTGGAAACGGTATTTCAATCATTTCCAAAATCTTGATAAAAATTAGTAGAGAGGTAAGATTCTAAGAATTACTATGCTAGGTGGAATAGGGCAAAGAAATGTTGCACCTCACAATGTTTTAAGCATCAATTAATATAACCATTGGGATGATGGGATATTCCTAGGGAGGCCAAATTCCGAACCAAAGTACTCATGTAATACATTTTTCAACACTGTTGCATGATTCCATATTAAACAATGATTGGATAAATGCCAGACAATGGCATCCATTCCATTGTGTTGAGAGAGAGGGGCAGCTATGTTCATTTTGAAATCTATTTTCTGTTAAATTAATCCCATTTCATTTGTTAGACAAATTCACAAAATATGCTGCATAATGTACGTTAGCTCTAAGTACAGTGATCATTTCCTCAAAGACATTTATGTGTCATAGTAGTATCAATATGGAGAAACAAATCAGTGATCTAGTTGCCATGGCCGTCAATTACCTTTCCTTACCCTGGTTATACCTCATGCTTAGAGATCCCAAAGGGAAGGGGAGCCACCAATGATATATTATTGAACCCTAAACCATGCGATACACATAATCATAAACCTTTCTCTGGGTAACATGGCATAAAAATCCATCTACTTCATGTTGCCAGTGTGATTCTTGTGGGTAAAAGATGAGAAAAAACAAGCTTTACAAAGATCTTCTAGTTTATCATTTCACCAAACAATGTAGATAGGGCCACTACAATTGTTCCTCTCTAGTCATATTTCACTAATCACCACTAGATTGGCTTTTGTGCTTTATGCTAGTTCAACAAGAATTTAATTGAGTCCAGACTCAAGAGGGTTTCCATCCTAAAATTCCTTACCTACAGTCGAAGGCACATGCAAATTCAGTATCAGGTTTGTATGGTGTTTGTGGCCTAATCTATGAAGCGATGTGGAAAGAGAAGTTCTTCAATATTTTCAAGTGGCCATTATGACTGACAAAGATCACAGTTGCAGCCCACATCTATTTTTCAAATTTCCATATATGCTTTGAGAGAGAGATTCCCATATATGCATCCTTCCAAACAAGATAGTTTACAAACAAGAAATGGTAGGTAGAGGCCTTTATATCAATCCATCCAAATACCATCTCTACTGAAGTTAACCAAGTTAAAGTTGACCATGGGAATTTCCGTATGCTTGCTGTTAAGAAACTAGACCCTGGGAGTTTCCACTCCAGTTTCATTGACAAAGGAAATTTCCACTTGCTGGTAAGAAAATAGATTTTGATCCTCCCTAGTTCATGAAAGCAAGGAATTAAACCGTATACCACCAAGTGATCAGTTGTCATTAAGAAACGGTATTTGTGTCACTGTAGTTGCCCCACTTGGCAACAAAGACTTTTTCTTTGATCACCGCACATATAGTCCTTTTTGGATTTGGCCTACCCAACCTATAGTTCTTCTTTTCAAATACATGGAAAAGTTCCATAACTAGACTAGACAAGCCTCAGGATTTCATGAGCACTAGAGACAGGTAGAGTGAAGTAGAGCACTGAAATCAATTGAACTTGACAAGTCCATCTTTGATGTAATTTTTATATAAATAAATAGGCCTAGATAGAGGACTCTTGAAGTCACCAAAAGTTGGGTAGAGGACCCTTCTAGGAGATTGCAAGCTTGTTCCTCCACTATAGCCTTCTTAATGTCTTTATTTTCCCCATATTCTCCTGTTTCGTGCAAATGAAATCCGAGAAACCAAATTGGACTTTCAGGTTTTCGAGCAACATAACTGGTCACTATTCTCAATATGGTAATAGGGAGATCTAGAAGCAAGGAGGTAATGATTATTCTTGGTATATATGTGGAGAATGAACCTCCCACCACTTCAGTGAAGTTTATTTTTCCACCAGCATCCCAACACTATTCATGATGTGAGCTGAGTAGGTTGGCTATGTAAGCTTACAATTCTGTGAACTACCAGAATCTTTCATTTTTTTCTATTTTTTTTTAGTTTTTCAAAATTTATGCCAAATATGAACAAAACTAGGGCGACATCAAGAGTAAGACATTCACATGTAACCGGCGCTTGTGTGATGCAAATTCTACTAGGTTAGATGACGCACTGCTCAATAGGCGTCAATGAGATCAGAAAGAGATTTCATGATCCAGAAGATAGATACCATGATTCACTGAAGAAGAGGGGTTTCATGGGTAAGACTGTTTCCAATGAACAAATCTAGATTCTTTTTTGGGATCAGGTCAAATTTATTTAGCTAAATACAACATTAAAATGATTGGGGCCTATGGGAGCTCAATAAGACACACCCATTAGTTCTCAAGAAAGAACTAATACATGTTCCTAACTGGTACAACATAAACTACAATTAACAAGATTTAAAGTTATGCATACCAGTCGAGTCCTATGAAGTTTTCTCATTAATGGAACGAGAACAAATAAAGGCACATGACATTCCATTGTGAGAATAATGAGCTAGCAACTTTTTGATAGGTTAGAGCTTGGGGTAGAATTGCAGGCTTTGTTACTTGCCACTGTTGAAGGTTGTACATGAATTTGGGATTCAATGGAGCTCGTCGACTGTATCATCGATGAGTCTCATGTATCTTGCCCATTGCTGGGCCTGGATTGAATCTGATTGATAGTTTTTAATTGGGATTACTATTTCTGCCTCACAAATCTTCTGTAAGGGAAACTAACTCATCGTTGTCTTGTTCATGTTCTCTCTGAATCTCTAGCTAAATATGAGATTGTACAGACGTTACCATTGGAAAGTATGCTTCTTGGATGGGGCTGATCTCGAGATTCATCCTATGTTCACGTTTTCTTTCTAGAAGTTAGTCCTTCATGGACATCATGAAGTTCAATTTGTACTTCCACACAAGCATTTCAGTAAAATTTTGTATATTCACCAAAAATAGAACACCTTAATTCTGTCAGTAAATAAATGCTTGTAACACATGAGGAATAACTTGTAAGAATTACACTTTCTTACATGATTGGAACGTACCATCTCTGTCCATTATTAACAAAAGAGTCAATCAAGACCTTAGATTTTGAGGATTAAGGATATCAGGTCACGGATCGTTGGCCAATTTTTTCGGTGATTTCCAATTTGGGGGGGATTTCACTTCTTCTGATCTTCCATACATGGAGGGTGGCCTCATGTGGCTGTCAAAACTCAAAACATCATTATTTTTTCCCGGATTTTATTAGGTTTATCACATTTTGGCCCCTGGGATCCTGCAATTTCTTGTCTTTTGGCGCATGTTTGTATTTTTTATGTTTTAGGGTAACGTTTTTTTTAATCATTCCATCTTTCTATAATTTGGGTTTCTCTGATAAATTTACACAACTACCAAAAACTTACTTGGTTGGGCTTTACACAATTGGCTATCACGAAGAAAATCATGAAATTCTCGACCTTGCTATTAGCAGAGCCATACTAATGCACACAATTAGGTTTATGGGAATCATCATGGTCCTAACCAGTGACGACTTGCCGATTTTTCTTAACAGAAATGCACTTGCCATTATTGGTTTCTCTCTCAATTGTTACAATAACTAAGAACAGCTTCCACGTCTAGATGTGTGTGGCTAGACATCTTACTACTAGGTATCCAGATTGTTCAAGTGCAACCATTCGGGTTCCCACACTCAAGCTTGCTTTGCCACTTCTATCCTATTTTATATACATAAACAGAAATGCCACTAACAGGAAAATAACATGGGCTATGCTGACCTTGTCGTTCTCGCCAATTTTCTCAAAATGGGGGCGGTCTGGCACTTTGGGCATGTGGTCCGGCACAAAATGGGGTCGGTCCGACACATTGGGCTTTTGAAAAACATGCAGTCTGACACAAAATAGGAGCAGATCGACACTTTGGGCATATGGTCCAGCACAAAATGAGGACGATCCAGCACTTTGGGCATTTTCATCAAAAAAAATTTGAATTTTTGAACTTGGGGTTATATGCTAGGATCAATTTGGGGTAAATGTTACTAAAAAATTTCGTTGGGGTAGGTTGTCTAAAAAGTGTCTATTTGTGGGGATTTTTGTAATTTTCCCTTGCAACTATGTTGAATATTTCAATGAAGTTCCCAATATGAATTTCATTCAACCCATTAATATTCAGGGTATGAATTCTCATTTGGGATTTTCTCCTTGTGCAGTGTAATTGGGATTGCTTTAGTTATTGCTGGGCTTTGAAGTTTTTCTTAACTAACAGAAAGAAAAACTCATAGCTCAAAGTGCTTATTGCATGTGTGTGTTTTGCATGTTTACGCAGATGATTCTCAAACATGTATGTGACCCTATAGCATGTGATTGTACACACAGATACATGAATTCATCCGTACTTGCTGTATTACAACGAACAATATTTCAAATATATTTTCCCAAGCCATTGGGGAAAAAAGAATAGAAAGAAAGGAAGGCATCCACTCCACATTAGGGCTACAGGCTAGCTATATACACACCTCCTCTTGCATTACAAGTACAAACAGAAAATAAAGATAAAAAATAAGTCTCTATGACACCATGTTGATAATCAAGTACTACTGAAAGATTCATACCTGGCAGTTCCCAAGGATCAAGGCTGTAGAGATCATCTTCTAATATCAAATTCGTTGGGAGCGGCTGTCCTGAATGTTTTCTGGCTAAATAGTGAGTGATCAATTCTTCATCTGTTGGGCTGAATCGAATGCCAATTGGAAGTCTTCGCACTGGTACGTACAGATGGGGAAAGCTGCCATTTGCTCTAATGAGTGGCATCTGTGTTACATAGATTACAATCAGTTTCAGTATTTTTTATATTTTTATATAAATGTTAATCAGCAATAATACATAAAAGTGTCAAACAAAAGACATAGAATCAAGTAAGTTGATTTAAATTAATTTACACCTTCTGAACAATAATATTTCTCAAATAAAGAAGATGAACCAATCTGAGATATTTAGGCCTCCTAAATGAAAAACCCATCCTAAACAAAACTAGAAAAAAATAAAAAAATAAAAATGGAAATAAAGAAAGAGAGAGAGAGAGAGAGAGAAAATGATGAATGATAAAGTCTGCGGGTCACAAGATTCAATATCTACTTCATAATATACAAACTTTCAATAATAATAAAAAAAAAAATGGATTTCTTGAGTAATCAAAGAAGATGATGAATAGATCATCTATTGAAACGTTATTTTCCTTTCTCTTTAAAGAAGAGGATAAACATACAAGCGGTTTGTTTAATATGTATTTACACCATGTGAGAAGTTAGTGTATTTGAGCTTTCACATAAATAAAGTGAGAAAATGCTGGAAAAATGGCTAGAAAAGTAATTTTTGAAGACTGAAACAGGAGAAGAAAACGCTAAAAAGCTAAATATTGAAAAAGAAGAAACTAAGATCTAGATATTAAGAAGAAAGTGTGCTTTCTATGAAAGCTTGAAGTAAATGATTTCCACAATAACAATATGGCCTCAAAATGAGATTAAAAGCTTCCTTCTTCTTTCTTTCTTTTTTTTTCTCAAAGAAAAAGTCACATGTGAGTAAAATATTTCGAACTATCTGTATGAACTCAAAATGCAATTGCTTGAAGAGATCTCCTTTGGGAGAAGAAAAGGCTCAGATGTATATATATGATACAAAGTACAATAGATTTATTTTATTTTTTTATCACAAAAGGCTCATGAAAATGAATACAAAATCTAACAACTTCAATGGATAAAGAAAGCTATAAGATTTTTCTGTTTTTCGAGGCAGACAGTTACAGAGACTCGTATCTATATGCATGAAAATAGATTAGCGACCAGTATCTACATGTAGAGAGAGATTACCCCCCCCTCTCTCTCTCTAGATGTAGAGAGAGAGAGAGGAGGAAGAGATAAAACCGCCGTATATCCACATGCAGAGAGAGATCTAACGGTTGATTCAAAACCAGAGAGAGAGACCGTTATGGGTGGAGAGATATCTTCAAATCCAGAAAGGGAGTGAGGGTTGTTGAAAAACATGGAAGAAAGCAGGGGTTTTATAGGGCCTCATTTTTAATGTGGACTAAACTGCCCTCCTTGGAGCCCACAGTTTATCTCTTCCTAAATGGGCGGAAGGTGGCCCCACTCTCTACCACGCTCCTCTTAAATTTGGGTCACCCGCTTGCCTTTCTCTCTCTTCCCTCACTTTCTCTCTCCTTCATTTCTCTTTATCTCTTTTGCTCTACACTATGCCTCTCTCTTCCATCACTCTCGCTCTCCTTCATGTCACTTTCTCTCTCTTCCATCACTCTCTCTCCTTCATTTCCCTTTCTCTCGCCTTCATTTCCCTTTCCCTCCCTTCCATCACTTTCTCTCTCCTTCATTTCCCTTCATCACTCTCTCTCCTTCATTTCACTTTCTCTTTCTTCCATCACTGTCTTTTCCTTCGCTTCTCTTTCTCTCCTCCATCTTTCTCTCTCCTTCATTTCCCTTCCATCACTCTCTCTCTCCTTCATTTCCCTTCCATCACCCTCTCTCCTTCATTTCACTTTCTCTCTCTTCCATCACTGTCTCTCCCCTTCATTTCTCTTTCTCTCCTCCATCACTCTCTCTCCTTCATTTCTCTTTCTCTCTCCACAAACTTACTTTATCTCTCTTGTGCCAAATGGAAGCAGTGCCCCGAATATACGAATCATCCTTAAGCCCCTCATTCTCTCTCTCTATCACCAAATTCTCTCTTTCTCTGTCTACCCTCTTGTGCCCAATGTCATTATCTTTAATTAATTAAAATTGCAAGAATTTGTTTGGAAAGCCAAAGATCTCTGCCAAAATGTCACCCAAGTTAAGAGAGAGAAAAAATGACTTATTTTTGTTGCTTAACAGTTTCTCCTCTGTGCATTTCTAATGCTAAACCCTAAACCTCTCCTTCTGAAACAAGCTAAGAGGAGAAAGAAAAATATTTTTATTAAATTGGACGCGTCTTTCTCTTTTTTTTATCTAAACCATAAACCCTAACCCTAAAACCACGTACGTGGTGTGTGTCTTCTTCTTCTTTTTATCGGACCATAAACCCTAATCCTCAAAACACGTTGACGACTCTGGTGTGAGTTTCTTTTTCTTTGTTTATCTATCACATAAACCCTAATCCTAAAACCGCGTTGACCACTGTAGTGTGGTGTGAGTGCCTTCTTCTTTATTTATCTATCCCATAAACACTAACCCTAAAACCACGCTGACCACCATAGCGTGGTGTGAGTGCCTTTTTCTTTATTTATCTATCCCATAAACCCTAACCCTAAAACCACGTTGACCACTACTCCGACTGTCATATGAGTTGACTGACCATGGTGCCATTTTTATCCGTGCCTTAGTTGTACGGCGCTACGTGTTTGCACCACTTTCATTAGTAACTGCACCTTGCTTGTTTACTGGCCCTAACCCTAACCCTAAAACCACCCATCTCTCTCTCTCTCTAGCTTGTATACTATATAAAAACTAGAAGCATATAAGGCATGAAAATTAAGTGACTCCATGAGAGAAAGTAGCAATGTACTGTGAGCTTTCCTGCTTCCAAATTTTTGCCCATAAATGGGTTAAAAATAGCAGGTTCTCTGGCCATTCTACTTCATGGAGGAGCGAAAGAGAGAGAGACGGCAAAAATCAGGGAAAAATGTCCAAAGAAGATTTTGGATAGGTTTGAAGCAGCTTTATTTGGAAGGTTTGTGGTTATCTTTAACTGAAGCATGCAACCAACCCTTATTATTAAGTTCACTGCATTTAACTAAAGCTAGCAAGCAACACTTACTAACCAAGTACACTGCACTGGTCAATTGGCCACTATGGGTGCATCTCCCAATTAAAGGGATGCAACAACTAACCCCCAGAACATATCCTACAGATGATAATAGAGAATCTCTTATATTTTGAAGAGGCCAAAAGAAATTAGAACGTGTGGGGTCACGGCCATTCAATTCTGCTCATAAAAAGTAAGTATAATGAATGAATGGGATGAGAATTAACGGTTTAAAAATAGTAGGAATGTATTTGGTTGGATATGCTGCTCATGTTAACTTTGCCGGGTTCTATTTCATTATTCATTGGCTATGTATTGTTTTCTGTATTAATAGTGTGGTTCGTATAAGTTGTCAATCTTAAAAAATCAAACTAAGGCGCACTTCTCCATTTTGCTAAAACATGTTTTGGTATCGAAAACCATTACAATGGCCTAAACATCTATTTTTACTCCTAATTATGAAATTTAAAACTCCAAAAATGGTGTAGATCTAGCTGATCTCTAAATACCTTAAAATTTTGAAAATAGATAGTCTATATAATGTGTTACAAGATGCATTACTTTTAGTATTTGAAATTCTTTTTCTTTCATATTGATATATCTCGAGGTCAAGACTATAGACTTTCAATGTCAAAACAACCTTTTCAAGTAGATTTTTTATGTGTACATTACTTCTATAGTACAAGATTATCACGTCATATAAAATTTTTTTCACGCATTAATTAACAAAAATTTTATATAAAGTGTCAACCTCATACTATTGAAGTAAGACACGCCTCAAAAATCCTTAGAAGAGCCTAATAAGATGTTGGAAAACCTTTCAATTGATCATTTTGACTTTGAGATGTATGAGTATAGACAAAAAAAGAATTTCAAGTCCTAAAAATAATGCATCTTGTAACAAGTTACGTGGACAATCTATTTTCAAGATTTCCAGGTGTTTATACATATACTCGATCTTTACCATTTTTAGCTATTCAAATTTCATTTCTAGGGATGAAATAGATTTTGAAGCCATCTTATGGTATCTGACAGCAAAATATATCTCTTGGCAAAATTTAGAGGTGTCATTCATCATCGTCACCAATAACATCATCATCATCAGAGCCTTTTTCCAACTATTTGGGGTCTGCTCCACGAATCATAGTATGTCATTATGGTCTATCATAGATCATACCCTCAATAAGATTATAAATCCCTATATATTTTCTCACTACTTCCAACCATGTCTTTTTGGGCCTACCCCTTGCCCTTTGTTAGACTTCCACTTGAATCAACTCGCACATCCTAACAAGTGACGTTATTGGGGCCACACTTATGTTTTTTTTAATGTATTACGTTATATAGCAAAGCTAGTCTCACATCTATCATATAGAACTTTCCCTTCTGCTTCATTAATATGAGGCAATCACATAAAACTCATGTTGCACATCTCTACTTTCTCACCCAGCTCTAATTCTATGCACAACATCTTCCGCAATCTCTCCATTTTCTTGTATTATTCAAAGTGTACTCTTTTTTGTGTTTCTTGCTTGTCAACCTTAACTACATCCTCATCTGTACTCCCATTGTTACTAAACTTATATTCCATATATTCTTAGTCCAACCAATTTTAAAACATTTAGATTCTCGAGCATCCCTCCAATTTTGTGTTGACATTGCTTCAGGCCTCATCAATCAAAACTATATCGTTCGTGAACAACATAAACAACGGTATCTCAACTTGTAGGTGCCTAGTTTGTAACTAAGAAAAAGAGGTATGGTTTCAACAATCACCCCTGATGTAGACTTATTCTTACTGAAAACACACTCATCTCTCCATTAATTTTTCTCATACTAGTAAGCGCTCCTCTATATATATCTCTCTCTAAGTTGATATAATATCTGAAGATTATTTTCTTTTCCAATACCCACCAAATTAAATCTAGAGGTACTCCACCATAAGTTTTCTCTAGATCAATAAAGACCATTCGAAGGTCATTTTCCTTCTAAAATATAAGGAGGGTGCCATATATAGGCATGTATACAACGAAATCCATCACGGACTATCTACAAGATCCGCCCTAATTTCACCTTAAACTTTCAAGAGTATCTCAAGATAATGAGTAGTTCTTGTCAAATTATGGTCCAATCTACAAGTTAGTTTCTTGATGAAATTGACTCCTCTATGGACCACCAGCTGCACCTGCCGATTATGTACCGAAGTGGAAGAAGAGAAACTTTCAAATACATGAAAGAAAAATAAAAATAAACATTGGCACAGTAGTATATTTTGAACCAAATAAATTAAAGTTTTTAAAATTATATGATGCTAAAGGAATCTGGAAAATTAAATCTGACCTTCTTGTGATCTTAAAATAAGCAATACCTTAGCAAAAATTGAGGAATAAGTGGTTGTAAATCAAGCCAAGGGGAAGAAGAAATTCATTTCTTCTTTCATAAAAAAATTGTCTACAAAAAAAAAATCCAAGTCTCCCCTCAGTAGGATGTCCCACTTCTTTTTAATACAAACAAAGAAATATAAATTAAAAAATTAAAATTAAAATTAAAAAACTAAAAGATATATCTCTTTCAATGCACATTGTAAAATTTTATGGAAATATCCCCCCTCCTCTCTAAATCACATGCACCTATCTCCTATTTTCTCTCTCCCTACATCAACATTTCTAAGATTTCTCTCTCAAACTCCCATGAATATCTTCCCACAACATTCTAAACCCAAATTTCTTACTTTCAAAGGAACAAAATCCCATACTTTTATGGATCTCACATACTCACCTCTCTACCCATTATTCTCTAACTCAGCTAACAATTCCTCACCAATAGACAACAATGAAATCCTAAAAACTATGATAGCCACCTACACCAATCCTGAAGTAACCAAAACCCCTTAAATTTGCCTTAGACATGAAATAAAATCCCTTTGCAACCTCCACATAGATATCCCGCAAAATTAACCCCAACATAGAAAATAAACAAATAAACACGTCCAGACACTTCCTTCCTTTAAAATCCCTATAAAATAAAATATAAAAAATAAAATAAATTTTATTTAGCCTTTATTTCTAATGTCTCGGATGTGATTTGAATCATTGTGAAATTTTTAAACAACAAAATTAGGATTATACCTACATTTGAAGTTTGAAAATTAAGAAGTGAGAATTAGGAAGCTAACATTAACAGGTAGTATTAATGATGCAAAACAAATTTATTTTAATT